GATAACAAATGCTTGGTAACGTTTGAAAATAATTAAAAAAATTGATATTTATAGACACCAATATTTTTTAGACGCGTAAAATCAGTTCATTCTTTGCTGTTTAATTTTTACCAAGCATATAACTTTGATTTAAAATTTTCATTATCTCTGTTTTTTATTTGTTACTTTCATTTCTATGTTGATCGTTACATACATATTGTCCGTGAAAAAACTTATGGTGATAGTAGAAGCATGCTCAACTACAGATTAAATTAATATTTTCGTCAACTTTCAAAATTAAGTATATCATACTATAGCATTAAAGTATTTCTTGTTATATTAAAATCGAGTTAATACGATTAATGAATAATCATTAACTTTGTTCATAAGCGGATAAGATCATATATATTGAAGAAGAAAATTTGAATATACCTGAATCAGCTATTTAATGGCCACGTATGATTGTATTAGGATTTGATCGTCAATAAAGAACATACTAATATATATCACGATTATTCTCGACTCATGCATATTTTACTTGTCAATCTCATAAGCAAGAAAAAAAATTCTTATTTAAGGAGAATTAAGTTCCATGGAACACAAACTTTTTAAAATAGTATATGATTAAGGACAAACTTAACAGTGACAATTTGTAATTTCATATATCGAATTCATGTATAATCTAAATAATCGATTTCACTTCGACATACAAGTAATATAAATAATATTCACTGAATTTTCACAATAAAAAATTCATTATTTTATAATAAACAAAGTTCAACGACTTTAATAATTATTCATAAAACATTAAACTGATCGGCACATCTAATCGACGATAGCAAATTTTATCTTATTGAATGGTGCATCGTTACCTTTATTAGCTAATGGTCATGTATTCCATGGTCAAGATTGTTATTTCTTTTCCAAAGGAAACAGAAAAGAAAAGTTTATAAAATACGTGATATGCTCAAAACAACCACTGCTAATAATCTTTTCCTAAATTTTCACTTTTTTGATTTATTATAGGATATTATTCATACGAAATTGATGTAACATTTTCTGATACAACGTAATAATTGACCTCGAAATTGTATTATAAATTTCGTTATTATGATAAACAAAAATATTAACAGCTTTTTTTGGCAAACAGAAAAGAGCTTATTTCCATTTCTTATTTGCACGTAGGAATTTTTCTGTTTCATCCCTCATCAATTTGTTTGATATGGATTTACTCCAAGTTATATTCGAAGTTGCGATTGTTGTCATATGGACTATCAGAACAAAATTATTACGCCTAACTAAATATTCTACTTGGAACCTATATATGATGACACTTTTGATATTTAGAACCGATTTTGCCTGCACCTTCTTTCTCATACATAAATAAAATGTGACAATTATAAATATAATATACTTTTCTTCATACACTTCACGTTAAATGTAAAAAAATAAATAAAATTATTAGAATATAAAAACTGACTTTTTATTTAACTAAAATCATGCATTGTGAAAATTACTAAATAAAGAATTATAAACAAGTATTAATCGACTTCTCTGCTTTATTCGTTATTTTTAATTAGAGAATCTATTTCAATATGAATATTTATATATTGTGATAAAACAATGTCAATAAATTAATTGTTTATTAAATCGAAAAGTTATATAAAAGCATTTAAATGAAATATTTTCTCAACATAATATCGTTACTTTTTAAAAATCAGTACACTCATCAAATTTAAAAAATATTATGTGTCATTCTAGTTTTACTTGTTTATATAAAACTATAGATTACCATGAAATATAATCAAAATGTAGTAACAACAAATTTACCAGAATCTAGCATATCATATACTTGTTTTTCTCATTGTAAATTTCTACAATAAAATAGTTTTATTTTGATGTAAGCACATTATAATTATACACTTTACTCAAAATTATTGTATTCATTTATTTAAATATTTACATTGATGAAATGTTTAATATTATAGACTACCATTCATTCTTGTATTATTATCATTTTTTTTGTTATAGTTTAAAATTTTTGCTCCATGAAAATTAGATTATTAATATATAACTTCATTGAGCGAATAAATGATGTGTTTCAATTATTACTGATAAGTGTATGAACTATATTCGTTACATGAGAACTGTCATGCTTTTTTAAACATTATATTTTTTCTTTACTATATATCAACACAACAACTCATTACTGTATTGTTTTATGCATACTCTTGCAATGCAAAAGAAATATTCATTGTTTCAATAAATAAAATATTCATTCTGATAATTATTTAAAACGTGTTTTCGTTATTGGCGTTTATTTTGTTACAGTTAAAAAACAGTTCAGAAAATGACTAGGAAATCTAACACTGTAAAGGTTATCATGAACATTTTTTTTTTGAGTATTTCTAACTTTTCTTTCTCTTTCTCTCTCTCTCTCTTTCTGCCATTCTCTCTTTGTCTGAAAACTGATAAGCGCATTGCTGCACGTTGCAGAGATAAAAACGATTGTTTATAATATTTATCATAAGATTGAAATTTCTTAAGAGAAATTCTTCGCTAGCTCTGTGAAGTTTCATATCATCACGTTCATGCGCACAGCTAGAATGTGATTTTTTCACTGAGGCGAGGCATCTCATATGAAATAGTTGCACATCGATATCTCCTATGTGTTAATTGTAACAGATATGTGTATACATGATTGTCTTCAGGCATATTCTCATTGGATGTTTTTATTACATTACAAGAAATTGTCTTTTTTTTTCTTGAATATATTTCGTTTAGCTCTCAATTCAATTTATCGTTAGTCTCTCTGATCATCAGACATAATAAAAGAAAGAGGTAATAACATGAATTTTTTATTTATTGAATATTTGGCATTCATCCTAGTATAGTTTGTTGTATAAGTTAGATAATTTTTATTTAATTTGATTGAAAATTGATTGAAAAGAAGACTGTTATATCATTTCTTCCAAATTTTGAATAGTTCTAATCCAGTATGAGTTGTTCAATCATATTGTCGAAATTATAATAATGTTCCATACTCCACTGAGATGAACGGTTCCTAGCAGTCATTAAGAATTTTTTCAATTTCATGTATTTTTTACAAATTTTTTTATCAAATCTGATATCTCTTTTAATTATTTAAAATTCATATGATTATCAATCTGCTTGTTTGGCACTGAGTTTGCAATCTTGAGTTTCATTGAATACAGTGTATTCATTTTATCTCTTACTATATTTCAGATACATAAACCATGCCAACAATTTTCCAACATTCAATGCTTTTAGCTGTCTTAATCTGGCATTCAATCGCTCTTCCGGTTGATATCGGAAGTAAAGCGTCATTGATGAATCAACAGAGTGAGCGATCATTGATAAATCATAAAATTTCCGATATCTACAATACAGGCATTCATTTTCTACAAAATAAAACAAAAAATGAAAATAAATTACGCCAAAAACGAGATGGTACTGCCAGTGTGGATATTGCAGCTGTGCAAGCAACAGTCAATGATCAGCGAATAATGATTGATGATCATAGAACAATGATTGACGACCATCGAACATTAATAAACAATTTTTTAAACACTACGAGCAATGAAAACAATATAAAACAAGCTGTTGCAGAACATCACTCAAGCTCACCTCCCATATGGAATAGCTGGCGGGATATCGGCCTAGTTCTCTTACTTTTTCTCTTATTTGTTTTAATATTTTATTTTTGCATATGCCACGTTAAATTGAAACCGTGCGATTATTTGATTTCATGCATTTTTAACCGTTATGCAAAACATCAAAACAAAAATCAACAAAAAGAACACAATCACCAAGAGTCTCACCTTGCAATTGTACCAAACAAAGAAAATATGCATCATACCTTGAAACCAATGAATCCACCTACATATCCCAATTTACATCTTACAACAATTGAAGACATTTATGCAGCGTGTCGTCCTAATGGTCACCCAGCTACTTGAGTAAACAATGCAAAGGATTGAAACTCAGCACAAACACAATTTTTTTTTACTTGTATGCCATTAAATTCTTTATTTTTCTTCGCAGAAATTCAAACTGCATGATCTATAAAAACTAGTTAATACTTCATACAAATCAATGATCTGTCAACTATTTCTTTCTATTTCAATTTAACCCTAAACAAACATAATTCTTTTTTTTTCTATTCTAGACAATTAGCCCTGAAGAGTACTATCTTTGAAAAGATACGAAACGCGTCGGCAAATTAAACTCTGCATTTCTTTAATCATTTTTTATATCAAGCACAATAATTTGTTGTTTTAGCACATTCATTTAACTTTGACAATACAATCGATT